CACACACACACACACACACACACACACACACACACACATATCCACTGACCATAACCTGCTGCCATAAACAGCTATAACACTCCACAGTTAAAGACACCAGTATATCAAGCTGCATATGCAGTGAAACATAACATTCACTCCACTGCAATGTTGTTATAGCCATCCAGCAACTGTAAAATATCCATTTCAAAGGCTTTTAACGCATATTTAGAAGCTGGCTCTAGCGGAGACGGTCTAATGTTGGAGGTGATAATGCTTACAAGAGGACACAGGGGATCTTTAGGCTAGCCTGGGCTTTCTCTAGACTGTCATGTGTCATCTCTGTGTGAGAGAGAGATTAAAGTGCACCTGCCTGAGAGAAGATACGCCCAGCCCTCTGGAGTGAAATTGGCAAAACAGACAGCCGTTCCCAGTTAACTGTCTTGTAGAATGAATATTGATTTAAATACTCAATCGAAAAAAAAACATAGTGAGGAAAGCGAGTAAAGTGAGTTTGGTCATCAAAAGTGAGCTGTTTGAGAGAATACATTTACATACTATAAAACTAGTCAGAATAGGCAACTGAAAATAAGATTAAATAAGTTACAGTTTGTTTACAATGCCGTACTCACACTGCTCAGTGTCCATGTTTCACTGAATATAGCTTACATCTTTCCATGCAGAAAACTATGACTTTGCCATCATAAAATGGTTCAATGAACACAAATACTTAGTGACTTGTTAATTTGTGTATTTTTGCTCCAATGACAGAAAAAAAAATCAAAGTCAAAACGGAAAGCTCAGAGTAACACTAATGTTTTGTTACTGAATGAATCAGCGTTTTCGAACGAACGATTCGGTTGACTAAATGATTTAATGATTCACTTAAAAAGACAGTCAGCTCTTTAGTTCCTGAATGAATCATTGCTTTGAGAAAAACAATTCGGTTTGAATAAGTGATTTATTATACAGTCAGCCATTTCATACCTGAATGAATCAATGTTCTGGAACAAATCGATTGGGTTTTGGGTAAATGATTTTCTAGATAGTCAGCCATTTTGTTCCTGAATGAATTACTGTTTTTGAGCAAATCGATTTGGTTGAATAACCAATTCAGTGATTTAACAATTAAGACAGTCAGCTGCTTTGTGCGTGAAGCAATCAGCGTTTTTCAACAGATTAGTTCAGTGAATGATTGACTCACTCAGGCAGTCACTCGTCACCACCTACTGGCACCTTTTGGCATAACATGCTGAAAGAGTCCACAACAACTACTAAGGATAAAACACATGCAGATATCACTATTCACCGTCAGGTTTTCATTGTTTATGGTTTAGGTTATTATAAAGCTTGTTTGACATGCAACTCATAACAGTTTCACACTGTTAAACTAGCTAATTTCAGCCATTCTCTAACTGTTCCCATGCACCATTAAATGACTACACTCTCAAAATATGAAACATATGGGTCTCTTTAATTGGCCAATTTCTCTTGCCAGTGCATTCGGTCTATCCCTGAATCCAAAAGAAAACACACACAAGCCAAATCAAGGCAGACAGACTTGGCGTACTCGTCCTCTGCCTCGGCTCAGATAGCGGTAGATTCCCCTCTGTTCTATTGATTAATTGTGCCATTATATTTGATGTATTGCTTTCTGTGGCCCATTTATTCTCTTTTTTCTCTCATGTTTTTTTTTTTCTTTTCTTTTTTTTTCCTCGGATTGCCATTTGAGGGATACGGCACCAGTGTAATAGTCATCAACATGACCCAACAGACCTGGGTCTAGATGAATAAAACCATCCTTACATGCTTCCTTCCTGAACGAGTACAGTGAAAAGGGAGCATGGGACTGCTTTCTTATCAGAAGTTATTGTTCTACCCATGTCATGACTAATTTGTCCTACCAAGAGAGACCCAGAATAATTATTCATATTTAATCAGGTGGAGAATGTGACATGGCCTGCTGGATGATAAGTCATTTTCCATGTTGCATTATCAAAATTTGAAGGAAGCACCTCCCAGCGCCTAACCAGCACTCACTAAATGGAACGGCTAGAGTGGTTTGGCTTATAAAATCATAATGGGCCTGCCTGCTTTGATAAACTGAGAACGTGGCTAGAATACAAGAGAGAGAGAGAGCAAAAGGGAGAGGGAGAAAATGAAAGATGGACGAAAGAGGACAAGGAAAATAAGGAGTCTAAATGATGGAAGATAGTTTGAAAAGCAAAAGAATAGGAGAAAGAGATGAGCTGTTTCGAAAATGAGAGTGAGACACACACAATGTATATATATACTGAAAAAAATTATAAACGCAACACTTTTGTTTTTGCCCCCATTTTTCATGAGCTGAACTCAAAGATCTAAGACCTTTTCTATGTACACAAAAGGCCTATTTCTTTCAAATATTGTTCACAAATCTGTCTAAATCTGTGTTAGTGAGCACTTCTCCTTTGCCGAGATAATCCATCCACCTCACAGGTGTGGCATATCAAGATGCTGATTAGACAGAATGATTATTGCACAGGTGTGCCTTAGGCTGGCCACAATAAAAGGCCACTCTAAAATGTGCAGTTTTACTGTATTGGGGGGTCCGGGGGCGTCCGAAAACCAGTCAGTATCTGGTGTGACCACTATTTGCCTCACGCAGTGCAACACATCTCCTTCGCATAGAGTTGATCAGGTTGTTGATTGTGGCCTGTGGAATGTTGGTCCACTCCTCTTCAATGGCTGTGCAAAGTTGCTGGATATTGGCAGGAACTGGAACACGCTGTCGTATACGCCGATCCAGAGCATCCCAAACATGCTCAATGGGTGACAGGTCCGGTGATTATGCTGGCCATGCAAGAACGGGGATGTTTTCAGCTTCCAGGAATCGTGTACAGATCCTTGCAACATGGGGCCATGCATTATCATGCTGCAACACGAGGTGATGGTCGTGGATGAATGGCACAACAATTATGTATATATATATATATGTATATATATATATATATGCATAATAATATTATAAAATGCATTGCAATATTAGAATATTTAAAAATTATAAATTGTGATGACTACAATGAATGGAATATCAATGCAACAGATTGTTAAAATTATGTTGTGTTCCATATGATATGTCAAGGAAGCCTCCAAGGTGGAACAAGCCAAAAGCTTACATCTAGTAGTATAAAACCATGAGACACCAAAATGTATTGCATCTGTGGAATGAGCCACATAGAGAAGGCTGAAAACAAGAGTAAAACAACGCAAGGAACGTCCAACAACGATGAGTGAATAGCAAAAAGAAAGACATCTGACAAAAGACAGACATACTCTAAACAACTCAGTCTTTGGTTCTTAATGAAGTTCCTGATGTTGAAGGACTCACCCTGCTCAAGTGGTTGAGGCTTGAGCCCAGTGGCCTTCATCTTGAGCGCTTCCTTAGCAGACATGTCACAGCAGGAGCCTTTATTAGTGTCCTGATCGCTGTCGGCTTGGTCGCTGTCCCCGTGCCCGCTGTCTCTGAGACTGGCTCGCTCCGGATCTTTGAACGTCGAGCTGCTACAAGTCAGAAAAACAAGACGGAAACGATCAAATGGATTAACCCAGGCAGGGATGCATGGCTTTTTAGTTCTTATCTGAAGAATATTTGTGTACAGAGGAGTTTAAGACAAATAAAGCTGAGAAAACTGTTAAATAGGCCTTACCTTTGAACAAACTGCTGCCTGTTACCCATG